GTGTTTACTGAATGATACACGAAGTCAAGCGCTTGTCTTTTGCATATAATATTAGGCTAACGCTTGTCTATCGAATAACATGTCGCTTGCTTTCCAAATAATACACAAGATTGGTAGAAGTTGTTTTCTAAGTATAACATGAGTTTAGTCGTTTAGTCAAACGTCTTAGGAGTGAAACATCAGACAAGTCAAATGTCTCTTGAATGCAACTTGAGGCTAGTCAAGTGTCTCCTAAGTGCAACATGAGGCTAGGAAAGTGTCTCATGAGTGAAACATAAGGCTAGTCAAGTGTCTCCTAAGTGCAACATGAGGCTAGGAAAGTGTCTCATGAGTGAAACATAAGGCTAGTCAAGTGTGTAACGAGGCTAGTCAAACATCTCATGGATTAAAATTGAAGCTTATCAAATGTCTTGGACCGGCATGTTTCTACCATGTGTCATTTTTGTACTGTTTCAGTAATAGCTACAGCAATATATAAATGGAAATATCTCAGCAAGATTTCAAGCAATAGTTTTCTGTGTTTTTTGGATAAAATATACTACTAAAATGTTTTCCATGGACAATGTAGTAAAGGTAAAACACGGGCTGTTACTAGCCTTTCTTTCCAAAGTATACAAAACGTTATGAGCCGACAGTGTATACCTTTCAAACGGCTTGCTTAAGCTGATTCATTAGTACGCTTCTTTATAAACTTTGTATATAAAATGCTTAAAAAGTAATAATTGTAATGCACTCGCGTGTATCAAACATACTGTTGGTGTGAACGTGCTTTGTATTCACTATGAGGAAAACCTGTACACTGGATAGGTGAATTGAATAAAAAGTCTCATTGGCCACTATTCAGTTCTTCACATTATGTAGCCACACAATAGTAGATATAATAAATAAACTTAGTATTCTGAAAGTTGTTTAATTTTGAAGTCTAAATTCAAGGGAGGTCCAGTTCAATCTACACTTTAATCAACGTTGTTGGGTTATTCAAGGACCTTCCTTGAATTTAAACTTCGAAATTAAACAATTTTCGGAATACTAAGTTTATTTATTATTTATTGCACTCACGTGTAGCCTACGTCTTATTGAATAATAACTATGAAGGTACTATGTAATAAGTACATATTTTTTTGTATCATATAAATGAAATAAAATAATACATTTCTCACTAAAGTAAAGTGATCACAGATTTGGAATTACTGGTAGATATTTAGTTTCTAATAACATTAGAACTTTTAATTGAAGCTTCTTCAATAGGAATTAAAAAAATGGATAAATATTTCACTACTCGACAGCTTTTTAAGCTTTAGTATGTTATGTACGATTATGTTAAACATGTAATGTCAGTCACAGCTTGAAACACACTAACTAAATAAAAATCCTGATTATTTTAATATTAATTTCCAAACAAAAATTCAAGATGAAAAATTATTCAAGATTAAAATAGTCTGCAAAACTAACTTTATTAATATTTATATTTACCAAAATAAAACTTTTTATTTCATGTGCTAACTTTACATATTTTTGTTGGGGTGAATACTAACGCATCTGTTTGTTGCAAGCTAGGGTTATCAATGTTATATGACAAATTTTAAATTTTAATTCTTACTTTATCAAGTACCAGTTGATGGGCCCCTCAGTGGCACAGCGGTATGTCTGCGGATTTACAACGCTAGAATCCGGGTTTCGATACCCGTGGTGGGCAGAGCACAGATAGCCCATTGTGTAGTTTTGTGCTTAATTACAAACAAACAAAGAAACAAAACCAGTTGACGGTTAGTCAAGTTCTAACAAGAAGAGTCGAACAAATCTGGATCATGTAGGCTTAAGGGAATGCCGAATTCATGACATAGAAGGATAAGTAACATGGATAAACGAGCTACTCAATAATTGTGACAAATTGCTATTTTACTTGCCTCACACTAGCTCATCCGGTAAGTTGCATGGTGACCCGGCTAAGAAATATAGATAAACATGTATCTGTTCATGGCTCCTTGGGTGACCTATTTTAAATGAGGGTTAATTCCATCACGTGCTTAAAATCATTTCCGAAAGTGGCAGACCTCAAACTTTTTCTATTGTCCAAGTATGAACACATCTAAAAAAAATACTTGTTATATATTTGGCTGTCCTATCCAAACAGCGTGCGAGCGTCACAATGTCCTCATTTCCGCGTCTCATGCGTCACAGAAGGCTACGTTCTAGGGTATTTGTTCTACACTTCTGAAATATTGTAAGAATCGCCGTCCCCGATTTTGTTGTGGTTGGTTTTTTTCATTCAGAAAAAAAATTTCTTAGAGGTTGTTTTTTTCTTTTTCTGACCGGTAATATATCTCAATCTTGCTAGCACGTTAAACTTGTCATGTGTGTTTACATTTTGACTGGTAAATTGGGATCAACGAAGTAAAACACATCAAAATCACCACTTAAAATATTAGGTTATGTTGTATTGCGTATTTGTGTTTACATTTTGACTGGTAAATTGGGATCAACGAAGTAAAAGACATCAAAATCACCACTTAAAATATTAGGTTATGTTGTATTGCGTATTTGTGTTTACATTTTGACTGGTAAATTGGGATCAACGAAGTAAAAGACATCAAAA